TCTATCTGCTTATAATTATTAAGAAAGGAACACTTTCACTAAATTTCATGAATTTTTTTATGATTTATTAATCGTGGCAGAGCAATTATGGAAAGTCGAGTTTTAACATCATCTTTGCAAATATTATTTTTTAACTAACAGAAATTGTAAAGAACTTATTATCCTTTTACTGTTAAAACCTCCCTAATCTGAAATTTTATTTGTACCCTTATCAATATAAAAGCAATGCATATCGTGCAAAATTGTTATTACAAAATGTAACTGTGTCACATGTTGGATTATGTGTAATGTAGTTCAAGATTGTCGTACAATTGCAATTAGTTTTAGGTAATTTTCAGGGTCGTGTTAGAGACTACGTAGTGTATTTTAGAAGGAAAGATATAGGGGAAAGTATATAAGAAATTAGCCCCAGCATTTCACCAAAACCGTAAGCAAGTTTAATTATAAGAATCCTGATAACATTATCGGCAGCTTCGACCAAACACGCGAGGGCTCTTGCCCCCGAGGCCCCTTTGTGGCTGCCTCGACTCGAACAATTACCTGCTTGCTACATTCCAAACGCGATAACGAAAATTGTTGTTACATCAGATGAAAAAGATGATACGCCGCCAGTCATGAATATCAATGTTCGTTTTTCTTTCTTTTAAAAAAACAATTCACTCGCTGACTTTTTAATATACAATAAAACAAAACGAAATTACAACCCCCCTTTTTTCACAATTAAATCGGAAGTTCCTCGAGTAAATCCAAATTTTATTAATGTTGACTTACCTAAGTCATTCCATAAATGCCTGAATCGGCACTTCGCGAGCAGATACTCTACAATTTATTATGAAACAATAATAAGAGTTAGTACTTTGCATTAATGAAAAAAATAGACGAAGACTCACCCGGAAGAATGCGGTGAGGTCCTGGTCGTTAATCCTGCAATGAAGATGATCTCCACGAAACTTATGTCATCCCAGCAGTAGCATATGTAAGTCCTCCTGATTACCGGTAGTACACACGGGAACTTGTACTGGAATTTATGGTGGAATAGGGAGTTTCTTTTTGTCATAGAGTAGATTAATCAGAAAAATAATTGTGCTTTCTATTTTAATGCTACTTATTAGATACTTAACAAATTTTTTATTGTTGTTTTTTACTTTTTCTGTAATAGCAATTTTTTCATGTAAACGAGAAGCTATTTACAATTTTCTTGAACCAACAAGATACAGTAATTACACAAAAAACACCAGGGTTATTAATCTTCTAGCTGGTGAAAAGTATCTTGTGTTTATAAATCAAAGTTGGATAAAAATTAAACATTTATTACGATTTTGGCAATGTATGCGCAACACATTTGACAATAAAAAACAACGTTAAGCTTATATAATAAATAAAAATTAAATGTTTTCCGCATACTTATAGCAAAACTTCGGTGTATCAAAATCTTATACATACAGTTAGTTATAGGATACGAATCTGTATCTTTCAAAAATACATTTAATTTGGGAGCACTTAGGGCTTGCTACTATATTCTAATTACTTGAAATAATCGAAAATGAAAATAATTACTATAACTGTCTGTTACATGCAAATCGCTGTCTACAAAGTCAAATTCACTTTAGGTTTGAACAGAAATTTATTGGAAATTGTAGATAATGGTTTCAGTTGAGTTTAATAAGGCCGGACTTTATCAAAAATATTAAATTTAAAATTTCCCTTTAATTAAAAGCAGAAATAAAACATTTTAGCAAACCCTTACATGCACTTTCACAACATCTTTATAAAAATAGCCTATTATTAGTCAACATTCTTAAAAAATTTTTGTTAAATAAGTAAACGTACAAAATGTCCGTAGTGTAAAATATTACGTAACATTCAGCATTATTATAAATATCAAAAACGTCACTGTTACGTTATCGTCAGAGTATTTAATTTATCACTCAGTTACCTCCGCACGAATCAGGTGATGGGAATGGCGCGTTCTCTTCATAAATCATCACCAAAGAACTGTACGACTTTCGTTTCTTCTTCATCTATATACGAAACGACCGCATTAATATAATCATAAAAATACATTTTAAACACGACTCAAGAGCGACTTTTTTTTGTTCTTGAATGTCATTTTATTTACAAGATTGGAATATAAAGTCAGGACCAGAAAAATTGATAATAGGTAGTCAAAATTCGTTTAGGTATTCACATTTCACGACTCACGACCCTCTTTTGAGACATGCTAAAATTGTAGGTATCACAAAGCATCAAGCTCAGTAGCGCACACATGAAAAAACAATTGCTTTGCTTTAACTTTCAAAAGAAATTATTGATATAAAGTCTAAATATTTGGCTCGATCTTTGTCCAATTCTTTTATTTGCATATATGCGTGCGTGATAAGCAAAATTGTACCTATCCTTGGTAAGCCAGTCAAATTATTTTTGAAAATTTTACAATTGCAATAGGGAGATTTGAATTAAAAACTATTATTTTAATATATATGTCCTTTTTTGATAATTAAGGACTTTATAGTAGATAGTTCAACGATTACGTTTCAATCAGCTGTATTGCAAAATTTGGCAATTTTTTTATAATCAAATTCAATTAAGTACTCGAAAACAACTAAACTTTTGAATTTGAAACTTCGCNTCTATCTGCTTATAATTATTAAGAAAGGAACACTTTCACTAAATTTCATGAATTTTTTTATGATTTATTAATCGTGGCAGAGCAATTATGGAAAGTCGAGTTTTAACATCATCTTTGCAAATATTATTTTTTAACTAACAGAAATTGTAAAGAACTTATTATCCTTTTACTGTTAAAACCTCCCTAATCTGAAATTTTATTTGTACCCTTATCAATATAAAAGCAATGCATATCGTGCAAAATTGTTATTACAAAATGTAACTGTGTCACATGTTGGATTATGTGTAATGTAGTTCAAGATTGTCGTACAATTGCAATTAGTTTTAGGTAATTTTCAGGGTCGTGTTAGAGACTACGTAGTGTATTTTAGAAGGAAAGATATAGGGGAAAGTATATAAGAAATTAGCCCCAGCATTTCACCAAAACCGTAAGCAAGTTTAATTATAAGAATCCTGATAATCAATGCGTGAGTCCCAATATTGAAAATTTAGATAAAATAACAATAACTATCAATTCCTTTCAGAAAAATATTTTGAGGTTGTTTGAAGTTACAAAGAAGAAAGTTTTTATGTTAGAAAAGAAAAGCTTTAACGCAAATAACATTCAAAATGATAGTAAAGAGAATAATCCTTATTTGTTTTTCAAATCCAAATGTAAAAATGTTTTATTGAACACCATACAGATATCTGAGCAAAAAGCTATTTGGAACTCACTTTCGATTTCGAATCCTTTTATTAGGTACCTAGGTGGTGTATATTTTACTAGATATTATTTTTCCGAAAGCCTTCCATTCGCCAGTCAAAATGAAAACTGTAACTTACTTCTATTCCATTGTCTTTAAAGAACAATGGATTGGCATCCATTTAATGGTTGCTGAGGCTGCGCAATGTTGTTGATGTTTCATTGTCTTTCGTGTTTTTGATGGTCTTACCTTCTGCTGATTGGCGGAAGTTTCGTCGCAGCTGCTGGTGCTGCTACTGGAAGTGATACCCTCTTCTAATGTAAGTCTAGACGAAAGACCTTGTAATTCCATTTCCACATACAACTGATCCAACTGATCGTTAACCAGCGTGGGCTAAAAACAATATAAATCGCTTTTTATTAAGAGATATTTCTTATATGGCCCGACTGCGTTTTCAAATTTATTAAAAGAACGCTCCAACTGTCATCATTGATTGAACTTGTACGTAATTGGTTCAATAGTAGAATGCTGACAGATTGATTGACCCAACCGGTGAAAAATCCTTTTTTTTTAATAGATTCATATTGTACAATTCAAAAACATCGAATCGACAGTTAACCATGTGCTTCGGCAAAAAACCTAAGATTGAACTCCAGATAAACTCTACACAGCCAATGTTTTTAAGAGATATAAATGTAGAAAACGGACGATGTTTTGTCCATACATAGTCCAAGGTAATGGCCCGTGAGATTCAGAATTACCTCTACGTATCAGAACTTCAATAACTGTCGGACAGTGACAGTAATAAATTGATAAACACGGTCGGGCCACTCTTTTAATAAATTTAAAAACAGAAGACATTTTCTTTTTATTATTACATTCTATCAATTTTTTATATCATTGTAAATATATACCGGGTGTCCGGAAACCAGAGAGCTTTCTGACTAGAATATTTATTCTTTATCTAGTTAGTGCTTACCTGCTACAGAAATATTTTCAGACACCCGGTGTAATTAAACCCGAATTTGAACTAAATGAATTAATCCGAAACAATGTACGGATGGGAAGGGCTTCCTTGCGTGGCTGCAGTTCAACGAAAAAGACTTAGAGGGTCGCAAAAGTGCATAAACATCTAATTCTTCTGGCAGTCGCTCCTATAAGTCAAGTAAGGTGCACGTATGTCGTAACTAACATTAGGTGCTGCATAACGTACGATTCAATTTTAAATAATTAAAGAAAAAATAAAAACTGCGTTAAAAAGAAATGTGAAACTGAATAAAAGTTCGTTTCGGTCTTACGAACTATGTCTTTCGTTATTTATTTCTTTGGTTGAATGCATTCTTGCACAGAAGCCTCCCAATCCGATTTTCCCTTACATGCAATTTTAACGAATAATGAACAGTTGAAACAAAACTAAAACAATAAATCCATCAAGACAGGCTTCGATCGCTTCTGATTGGTGAGTTATTGTATTTTTGAGTAGTTAATTACTGGATAATTGCACAATGAACTGAAAATTCGAAGCGTACTTAATTTTTATTTGATTAATTAAATGACTACTTATTAACCGCAAAATATTTCGCTATATCTGATATTTAGTTTTGATCAAATGGTGAAACGGTTAGTCACATGAACGATAATTTTATGAATATACAAATTTTTAAACCCAAAACGGTTATAGTCAAAAGAAATGAAATTCTAAAATAATGTTAGTAACATTAAAACAGAACATGGGTAATTTTTGTTTAATGATGAACTTTATACAATCCCCAAAAAATTAGTCGCGTGTCACGGAGACTTAATGTTTTAAGGTAGACACNTTTTATTTTCGTATTTATTTTATTCAAAATGTTTTTCGTTATGTTTGCAATACTTTACATTACAATGAGATTTTGGCTTAAAAAGCAATGAGGCAGTAAAGGATTTATTTTGTTTCTGCTGCAGATTCAGTAGAAAAATAAAACATTTTGTTAGTATAGTTAAGTATACAGGGTAGTCCATTAAGCGCGCCTTGCTCTCTGGCAGTCTTGCCGTTGAAACTGGAAGAAAATGTTCCCAGTGAAATGATATATATGCGAAAAATAATTTCAGAGATGGCGGACTTCCGGATATACTGGAAGTATACATCAGGTGCCTTATGTTAAATGGAACACTGTATATATTACTAAATTTTTGAATTCAGCATCGATCTTAGTGATTTCTAGAAATCGATGCTGAATTCAAAAATTTAGTAATATATAAGGTGTTCCATTTAACATAAGGCACCTGATGTATACTTCCAGTATATCCGGAAGTCCGCCATCTCTGAAATTATTTTTCGCATATATATCATTTCACTGGGAACATTTTCTTCCAGTTTCAACGGCAAGACTGCCAGAGAGCAAGGCGCGCTTAATGGACTACCCTGTGTATTTAACTATATTAACAAAATGTTTTATTTTTCTACTGAATCTGCAGCAGAAACAAAATAAATCCTTTACTGCCTCATTGCTTTTTAAGCCAAAATCTCATTGTAATGTAAAGTATTGCAAACATAACGAAAAACATTTTGAATAAAATAAATACGAAAATAAAAATACAGGGTCAGTAAAATGAAAAGGAAATTAGTATTTGCGATCAATTCCTTCAAGTCCTTTAATTTAACACATGCCTCTTTTATTCAGTTCTAAAAGGATACAGTGCCTAAGTAACAGTTTTTATAAAATTTTGAGGTTTATATTCCCACAAATTTCTTTAATAAAAAACAAATACTTGTAATTATTGTAATGAATATCTTCACCTGAAGAAGCCAATGTTTTTTTTACCATTTTCATTATTATTTATACCTTTTACTTAACACCATAAACTTGTCGATTTTTATCAAAAGTATAAAGGACCTCAAAACAATAATTTAAAGTAATATTATAACTAAGTTTCAGTTTACAACCCTCCTCCACACTGCCTCACAGTAAAAAATTGATTTTTGTAAAGTACCGATGCTGTATATCAAAACTTCCTGATGAATCATAATAAAGAAGAGTTTTCATTGATTAAAAATTATATCCAAAATAGCCACTTGTTGAGAATAAATTATTGAACGTATTTACTAAAAATTGTAGGTAGGTAGGTACTTGATCAAAAACAAATTTTTACTGTATCTATTTGAGAATAAAATAAATGAAGTTTTATTATATTTTTTTTACTGAAAGGAAATTTGATCGCATTAATTTAATTTTTGTTTTCATCTATCTTACCTGTGAAATTGTAAAAGTCATAGGAACTCGTAAAAAAAATGTATATAGCACACAAAGAGCAGACTACCTGGCCTACCTACAACCTCTACCCCCTACGTAAATGATTTCCATACTGGACACGTTCCCTCGCCCTACGCCACTGGTCCCAATACACTCCGACTCCGTTCCCCGACCATTATCCTTCGCATCGCTTTTCTCTGGACCGGAACTCTCTCGTTTACCTACAATCTCTGCAATCGAATCTAATATATACGTATGTACAACACGTAGCATGTAATGCACAAGATATAGCGTATCTATGGTACATATATGTGTGTATGTAACGGTTGGAAATCTGGAAACTCGATTGAGCTTGACTTGAAAATTACCCTGTTTATTTTTATACCATGAAAAGAACATGATTTTTCTACACGAAAATTAGACCAATTTTCCACTTCTGTCTTTTTTATTTGAAAAAACAGGGTGTCCTACATTTTTGGAATGTTGAACTATACGTTTAGGGTCCCAATTTTAAACATGTCAATAAAATTTTGCAATACTTCAAATAGGGATCTCATTTTACGATTTTTAATTTTCCACTTTTGGTATATGTTTGTCGATCTACCGAAAGTAATTCTCACAAAGACATTGGGATCTGTCGAACAGACATACAGCACCCGATGGCAAAATTAGTAACTTAGCTAAGGGATAAATTGACGCCATGTTTTTTAAGCTCCTCCCATTTGACGAATCCCAATACTTTTCTAAAAATTTTACAAAATATTTCCAGATTTTGAGCATATTTTTTAAAAGCAAATGTGTGTAGGTACTATAGTTATTTGCAAAATTTCATTGAAATATATCTGTTGCTCTGTGTAGAAGAACTCCCTTCTGAAATGTGTTCTAGGTATTGTTAAGCGATTTTCATTTTGTATCCCGATTTCCAAAATATTGAATTTCAAAGTAATTTGTAATGTCGCCCCCGCCATTTTCAAACCATACTATTTCAAATACTAGCAGAAACATTGTAAGTAGGAGTATGTACATATATTTTGCCTTCTACCTTCTAATTTTTACTGAAACATGAACTACGTCTTCAATCTAGTGGATCCACCAGGCACTTATTTGCCTTTATTCTTAACACAATACTTGTATGAATAAATTATGTAATGTAAACGATTACTCTGTTCATTTAATACAAAAAATACGAACATATAAATAGTCCCAAAAAGATTAACATGCCTTTAGAGAAAGCGGTAAATAATTTTAAATTTCATGCAAATCTCCCTTACCTGATGTACTCCCTTCAACGAATTCATATCAGATTTCAGTATTTCGTCCATCGTTTTTTGTGAAACCTGATATCGGTAGATTAAATCGGGCGTAACTGACACCGTCTCCAGCCATGGAGGGTCCCGATTCCGAACAGGATAAACAGTCGGTTTCTTATAAAAATTCTGAAAAACAAGACCCTTGAAAGGACAAACAATCTTGAACAAACGTGCCCATATCGATTAACATTTAGCAGAAAATTATACTTATGTATATATATTATATGTATACCGCATGCGAAAGAGTTAACCTTGGTACAAAAAATTTCCGCTTTGCAGAAATGTGCATAAAGAGAGCGGCGTATTGCCAAGTCAAAGAAAGTCAAGAAAAGTCAAAAAGGGGGTGCGGATTCCACTTTTCGGATATTTCATTCCCACCAACTAATGTTGATGGACTGACAGTTTCTACAGAGTATACCGAAGAATAAAGCGGAAAGAGTAGTAGTTACGAAGAAAACGATGAAACAGGCGAAATAAAGACAAAAAGAAGTAAAAGATTAGCTATGGAATGTGGTCACTGCCCAAGCATTTGACCAAGTGATCCAAGGAAACTACAGAAAACTTCGAAATCAAACTTGTCTAAACCTCCGGACCTTGCCGCTCGGTAGATCCACACTTTCGCATCCGGTATATATATCAGAAATTCCGAATCAGATTTTACAAATACGTCCCTCCTTCTTTTGAAGTTTAACTTTGCATTCTTTTTCTTATATAAATAATAGTATTTGCAATCAACGATTTTCAAAACATGACTTATGGCTTTCACACTCAAAGTGCAGTGAATATATTAACTACATATCTCATACTGTACTGTACAACCCTAGACAAAAATTTTCAGTCTCTCTGCAGTCTCTTAGAGTCTTTCAGCGTCTCTCACAGTCTTTTACAGTTTCTCAGTTATTGCCTAGGTATTTTTATGGATCTCTCACAGTCTCTGTATGAAAGACTCGAACGATAAAATTGTTAATTCAGAGATTCGAGTCTCTCACAGAGAGACTGAATGAATAAAACTGAAAAATTGAGAGACTCGAGTCTCTCGTAGAATAACTGGGATCTCTGAAATATGTGGAATTTAGAAAATTTTAACCACGTCTATCGAGAGACACCAGGCTCGAGGCTCTCGTTCAGAGACGCTAAACAGTTTTTTCGACAGTCTCTCTCAGCTACACCAGAGACTCGATGAGAGACGGAGACTCGAGTCTCGCTTTCAGAGACTCTGAGAGACTGAACATTTTTATCTCGGGAAGACTTGACACACATTGTAGCACATTAATTAATGATTTAAGAATTTCACGAAGATCATCGATCAGTAATCAATGCATTAATTTGAAACAATCATATCTCCCCTTAAGAAAAAGTGAATTTCAAAGCTCACAAAAACGTCAGTACTTGTCAGAACCCATATAATACAAACCGCTAAAGACCACTACCACTACTAATATAACGTTACTTATTATTGGGTCCTAAGCACAATCAATGCACAGTTTGTCACTCATGACTCATGCCACCCAAAAACAAATTAAATAATCTATAACAAGAACTTACGTTACTCGATGCATTTCGATTGTCTGACGCTGAAGAATTGTCATTAGGGTCGGAACCTGGATCGGTAGTCTTCAGGAACGATGAATATAAGGATGAATGACTACTTCCGTCACCAGTACCGTCACTCTCTTGCATTTCCGGCATTTTTGATAGCTGATTCGATTCTGTTGTCTGAAACCAATAACCGTAACTTAGCAAATATAAAAAACTAACTGTTTCAGATCTGTACTTTTGTTATTGTTTTAAATGTTAATAATCATCTATTAGGAAATTCAATCGTTGGTAATACTTATTACTATGAAGAACAGAATAATTTTTATATTTTTCTATTTAATATTAATATGGCGATGTTCATATTAACAAAATTCTGTGCTCTGTCTAGCTATTATTAACGACAATTACTCTTTTTATTTATTGTACTTTGTAAGAATTACATATATAGTGTATTTTATAAGTACTTTAAAATTATGAATGTTCGCTCACTTCAGAAAAGTTTAAAAATATTTTTTTAACAGAAGCTTTACGTCTCGAAGCGTTCAGCGTACTGTTACTTTAGTTGTCGTAATGACAACGCCCTCTTAAAACATTTCCGAACATCGAAATTAAAAAAAAATTGACAATATTGTATTAATATTAAATTAAAGTGAATGTAGGATAATAATAACCTTGTAGTTACCAACACTCGGTCCGTCAACAGGCGTGTCAATAATCGAAAAAGCCTGGGAAGATCCTGATTGCATTTCGAAGTCCTTTCGAGAACAATCCGAAATTGCCTGGAAAGTATTAGTATCCTTAAAATTTAAACTACGCCTGAACCTATAGAGATGTTGTTTTACGTACCAGTTAAGAAGTTGGATATTGAAAAAAACTTTTAACTATGGTAAAACTAGTAAAAGGTACCTAGTACAGATGTACAAAATGGTTTTTTAAAAGTATTTAAATACAAAATGGATATACTTTCTTGATTTGTTATTTCAAATGTAAAATACAAAAAATATTTCCCTTTTGTATTTTAAATGCAAAATACATATTTTCAAAATATTTTTTTCAAATAAATATATATATTTCTTCAATTTAGCAACAAATAATTCTTCTATATAATAAATCACATTTCTGGTACCCAGACATGCATATCCAGAAGAAGCAAGATATGTAAATGCAGTTTTAAGCTGTGCTTTGTACTATGTATTACATGTAATTAGTTTATTAGAATTATTATCAAATTGTTGAATTAAATTGAAAGCGATCACGTTTTTATTCATATTCGCAGGCCTTCTCAAACAATTCAAGTAGAACCTTTCCAACCATCCACCGTATAGTTCAAATCTTACGCCGAGTGATTTTCGACAACTGAAGGCAGGATTTATAGGGCACCGCTTTGCCACCAACGAATTATTTCAGAGCTCTACGTTGTCAGAAAATATCTCAATAGTTGTGGCGGTTATGTAGAAAAATAAATAAAATACTGCTCACTCTTTAGCACTAAAATAATTTTGTTATTAACATCTTTTTTATCTCGTCAAAGATTGAATGAAATAACCCCTGTAGACGAGTTTAAATGAACTAGACTTACTACCGTCTAAGTTGGAATTAAAATTTAATTTACTGTTACATTCGACTTTAATTAAATTAAACTTTGAATTAATTTGAAAAAGGACACTGTGGAATGTCAACAAGAGCCTTTTTATGGAGCAAACAAACCATTATCCAAGCATTTAATATGTTGAATGAGAATAATGTATGTTAGTGTTGTAAGAAAAAATTTAGACAATGTATTGTGTAGTAGAGATAGCAGCAATGCTATTTTCTTGAATTCAATTTAATTTTCCTGCCGACATTAGCAAGAAAAAGATAAACTATTGGGATGTCAATCCGTCGTTATACGTCCATCTACATATTGAAGATCATAGCAGAAAAAAAATTAAACAATCCATTATGATTATTTATTATAAGTTAATTAAAAATAGATTTTAGTTCTATGTTTAATCGTATTGTCAATAGTCGGCCATTTTTATTGCTCCATTATTACGTAGTGTCGGCCATCATTCTTTTCTAATTGTTGCTGTTGTCGGCCATCATTCTTTTTTAATTGTTGTCGCATTGTTACTAGTGTCGGCCATCATTCTTTTCTAATTGTTGCTGTTGTCGGCCATCATTCTTTTTCAATTGTTGTTGTATTATCACTGATGTCAGTCATTATGTTTTTTTAATTTTTGGCAAAAAATACGACTCCTTAAAGAGATGCATGGTAATCAAAGGCAACATAAAGCTCAATTTAATGATTACATTAATTATAGCAAAAACATGAAGTATGTTTTAATATGGAATATTTTTGAGTTCGGTTTGTCTATAATTTTGGGGTAAAAAAGGTCAGATTAGGAGCTTTTCGTCAAATGCAAGGTGCACATCCCAATAAAGAATTTAACGAAACATCAAGCGAATGTTTAAATCATTATCCATTATGATTATTTATTATAGGTTAATTAAAAATAGATTTTAATTCTACGTTTAATCGTATTGTGAACAGAAATAAAAAATAAAAGGGGAGCAAATTTAATGAGAACGAAAAGCAACAAATAAGAGATGAAAATTTTACTGTCAACACGCCGAAAAAGTAGAAAACGTGAATAAATATTTNTTTTTAATTAATAAAATAAATCCCTGTTATTACAAAATAATTGTACCTATCAGTTTTGATAAAAAATTTTCTCTAACAAAAGTGATTTCCAAAAAGGAAATTGTATCATTATAAGTATTTACCGGTAAATTTAACCAGCAATCTTCTTTTAATAAGGCATATATTTCATTAAAAAAAGCTACTAGATGCACCATAAACAACAAAACACTTCACAAATTCAATGTTAAAGTTCAACACGCATCTGAAACACATCCATAACAATTGTTTACCGTACGTCACACAGAGACTAAATGTTTATTACTGTGCTTTTAAATACAGTTTATGCGCTCATGAATAAATTGCTTGTCTTTGTCTTTTATTTTCTCGTAGGTATTCTTCTTTTTCAAAACCGTGCAATCACATGCGTGACAATAAATCGATAGAGGATTAGAAAGGTAATACAATGCTAATGAAAATCCGTGACGTTGGCGAGATTACGTAAAGAATAACAAGTAGGCAGTGTTTTGCTGTTTGTACCTATCTGATAGTAAGCACGTTTTGTGATACAAGTAACGACCACGATCCTGAAGACGGCGGACACGTTTCTCCTCAATTTAATTTACACTTGGTGTGAATTCCGAAATTAATTTGCACTTCAATTAAAGCTCCTGCCTTTAGGGAGGCAAAAACATGAAAGTCAGAATCTGTTGAATGTTAATATTCAGCTTCATTACTCTTATTTTTAGAGAAATTAATGTTTCATTGCCAAGACGTATTTTAAGAACATTTTAATCGGTTCCAAGGATGGAAAAAGATTATCGATGTAAATAGATTATTAAAAATAAACAGGGTTGCAATATTTTTCTTAAACCGGGGTTATTTTTTATTTTCATTGAAATAACCAAAAGGTTTATTTCTAAATTGTAGGGCAATAATAATAATATGTTTTCGAGTGAAAAATAGATTTTCATTCTACGTTTAATCGTATTGTGAACAGAAATAAAAAATAAAAGGGGAGCAAATTTAATGAGAACGAAAAGCAACAAATAAGAGATGAAAATTTTACTGTCAACACGCCGAAAAAGTAGAAAACGTGAATAAATATTTTAAATTTCGTTAAACAGTCCACATTGCTTTCCATAAGTAAAAATCTCCAGTTCGTAATTAGATCGTGTATTTTTAAGCGATTGTGTTTTTTTTTAAATACTAGAGCTAATTATTCACGTACTTTATTTTTGTAATCATTTCTTTTGTTCTAATTTAATCTACTGCTATTACAATCGGTTGGTGGTTTATCGTCAGATGAAATTTTTGCAATCTTTCATTTTCCTCTTCAGTTTGGATTACAACCCACACGCTTATCGAATAAAAGGGACGAATATGAGGGAAAGGAGTAAAAATAAAAAAGACAAAACGTGACAAAACGGTCACGTACTAACACTGACGACTGCAATCGTTCACGTGTTTGCCACAATTCCGCTTTACTGGCGACGGTTCGACCTAAAGCAACTTTTCGCCTTAGCAAATACTTTTCCTTTTAAATTCAACAAAAACCAGGGGAACATTATTAGGCTCTTAACTTTTGATTTGTAAATTAAGGTAGTAATGACTGTTTGCTTTGGTTTTTCTGAATTTCAATCATATTACTGCCGATGAAATAAAAAAAAAATATTGTATACTTACGAAGAAGCAACGACGTTAGGTACAACAAAATCCAATTGAAATTTACGTTAGTGTTATTTTATGTTAGATTTATGCCTAATACGTCTTTTTATTTAGTCCCAAATCGACTGTTTAGCACAATAAAGTTTTTCATCTAAGTTTTTGATAGTTTGGACCATTTTGAACCATTTCCAAATAAGGAAAGTTATGAACTTATTCGAAAAAATCGTGATACGGAAGTTTTACCATTTTTCAATATTTCTTTCTTCATTGATTAAATACAATATGGTTTCATATTTTTTAATTAATAAAATAAATNTAACTTATCCTGACGCAAAGCTTTAAGGAAATAGCAAAAAGAACTTAGATACAAAAATCTCAAAGTATAAAATTCAATTTCTTTTCTTCCCCTTATTTTAAGATAACAACATTATTTACCAAACCAAGGTAGACTTTAGGGTGATGATGATATTTTTTACAATAGGTGTCGGATGTAATGGTGCTACATAATTTTGTAGTTATTATAAAGATTTGTATAATACAATATCTATAAGAACCTTCACAAAATTACTTTAATAAATAAACAGACCTTTTCCTTATCCTGCTTTTGATTCTGAGGTAATTATCATTGCAAGTTTTTCAGTATAACAATTATTCAATATCATCAGTTTAATCCTACCAAAAAGCGCGTAAAAAGCCATATTCGTGTCGTATTGGTATGTGTTTGTTCATACATAGTACCAACCGTATATTTATGTACAAACACTATGAAGGCCCTGTGCTTTTATTAAGGTAATCCCAGCCTTATAACCACTATTTTGTTTTCCTACTTTACCAAGAAAGCAGCTTTTGTTATAAATCGAATCCGATTTACTACCCTTTGAAGTTCTAGGTGCAAACTTTTACGGTGTAGTATTCCATTCCCGTCGACCTTTTTATCGAGCGTTTTTTAAACTGCTTCTCACGATGATGAGGTTTAAACACGGCCAGATAGTTTCAAAAGTTCTTTAGGTGCAATCTTTCAGAAATACAGACTGAATTTACGACACAAGAAAGTGCAATTTTCTGTCACTGGTTTCAATTTAAACAGCAAAAGTTTCTTTTCAATGTTATATTACGTATGATAGAAACAAAGGTAAGAGAAGTTATTGTAATTGGTGTGCAAGGGAAGAACAAGTAGGGAAAGAGCGAATATAGAGATAGGAGACGAAAAATTAGATGAAGTGGCTGATTTTCGGTATCAGGAAGCCAGGTAACTCAGGATGGAAGGAGCAGTAGAGATATAACACAGATGATAGCGCAAGATCGCGTCGCCTTCAACTTAAAGAAGTCGCTTCTATCCTCGAGAAAGGTTAATGTACGAAAATATTCGAAAAAGATTGTTAAAGGTGTATGTTTGGCGCGCGGCGCTGTAGGGGTGCGAAACATGGACGATAGGCGTGTCGGAAATGAAAAGGTTAGAGCGTTCGAAATGTGGTGTTACTGACGAATGATGAGGATACCGTGGATAGAGAAGGCTAGAAATGAAGAGGTATTAGAAAGAAATTGAGAACAGGGGTCACTACGGAAGTCAATAGATAAAAAATAGGCAGGATAAGTTAGTAAGACATCTTCTCTGGCATGATAGACCTTGAAAGCAGAAACAGGAGTTAAGAGGAGTAGAGGTAGACCGCATAGTTAAGGGTGTTGGATGTTCTAGTTTTAGAAAAATGCGAAAATTAGCTCAGAATAAGAAAAAGTGAAGGTACGTGTCCAACCAGTCTTAGAACTGACGACCTTATGATGATGACTACGATGATAATTCTCTATTTGAGTAGCATAAATTATACAAACTGAAAAAGTCAACCTTTTTTCTCTTTTCTACTAGGTAGATAATATATAAATTATTATTGTTATCAACATACAACCTACTTTAATAAACTAATAAATACATACAAGTTAATTGAAGTCGAAGCTAAATTATGTTTCATATTCTGGAGTTACGAGCGAGCTATTTAATATAAGAGTTAGACACCAGGTAACTTTTCAATTAAAATTAAACTACGTAGTATACGTAGGTAGATGCCTATTGATTCTCAAAGTTTGATAATTTTCGAAATGTTCCTTTTGTACTTCAATTACTATCAGCACACTCGATACCGAATAGACACTTTGACGGTAATAAAACTTATACGTTACTAACTGGAACGGGTCTAATCAACATCGTGGGCGAGATTGAATATCGCTAGCAAAACCCATTTGATATCATAATTAACCTGTATACCTACTCAGCGTAATACACAATGCAATCTAAAGTGAGCAGTACATTGTATAAGTTCTACGTAAATGTTGACGAACACAAATTTTAAACAAAATTAGTAAATTCGATATTGCGAAGTCGTAAGAGAATCCAGGACTTCAAATAAATGCTGTAACAACCGTAACAATATTTTTTAAGCTTTAGCGATTGCTGTTGAGTGTAAAACAAAAGCCTGCGATTCGAAAGCACAAAATTTCAGAAGCTTTCTTGGTGTTTGTTTTGTCAAAACATATATGAAATTTCAAATTTTCTAAAGTTAATGGATATTATGCAGCTTTACAAATCAATACGGTCTAAAAATTTTGACGCCTGTTATTTATTCATAAATAACCTTTTATGTGTAAAACACTGCAAATTTACAACCAAATTTTAGTTCATGGTTTCCTAATAGGTAATCATTTACCTGCCAAAACAAAAACTCGAAGGACAAATTTGTAGGATCAATCAATCAATCAATTTCGAAGTCATTATCCTTACTAAGAACGTAGATATAGAGTCCTCGGAACGCAAGTTTAATGCCTTTCAGTCAAAAAAATTCACTGAATGTTAAACTACGAAAAATGATATAAAAATTATTACTTGTACAGTTACCTTGTTCAGACAGCTGGCGGATGTGACAGATCCTATTCCGCTTCCGGGTTCTACTTTAATCGATGTAACCTGCGAAGACGATCTCCGAAGGAACGGATTTGAATTCAATGAGGATCTTTGTCCCTGCATATTCGAAGTATCGACACACGATGTCGGATGACCACCGCCAATGACTTCTTTTTGCGGGGGCGGTTGCGATGGTTGTTGGAACGGTAATGGTACGAAAGCCATGGGAGGACAAAAAATGGAAGAAGTCGTCGGGAATACTGACTGGCAATTGTACATCATACTCGGCATATATTGCACTGTAATTAAAACAGTTTATTTGTACTTTTCGTAGATGATCTTTTGAATTACAAATGTAACGAATTTATCTTTTTTTTTTTTGGGAAACTAGTTAATATTATTATTATACAGGGTGTAACAGAAATAAGTGCCGAGCTCTGCAAAGTGTAAACTAGTTGTAATAAACAGGGTGAACTCAGCACCGTCGTTAAGGGCAAAAAAAAATTTTAAGAAAAGCACAATAATCTACAATCCGAAGCCGGATTGTGAGTTAGTAGGCAACATAGGTGTCTACTAAATAGCGTAAATGTGATAAAAACTTTGCAGCTAAGTGGATGGAGAATGTAAGCATTGCCGAACTGCACATCGATTGCCTCATGAAAGATTTAAACTTTAAAATAATAAACGGCTACTAGAGGTTGGGAGTTAACAAAAACGCCCTAAATCACCTAACAAATAAACAGTAGATAAGCAAAAAACACTACACTGATGCTGATAATCACCAGCTGATTGAGGACAGCGTTGCGCGACTTTTTTCTTTACCAGGGCTGGAATTGAAATACAAACCTGTACTTACAACTACGTTTTTCTCGAAAACAGTGAACTTTTTTCTGTTACACACTGTAGATGTATCGCAATAGTATATAGGCCAGGAGTTAACCCTCACATTAAAGTAAATACGAATACGTACTAATTGTATTAAAAATTGAAATAATTAATTCATTCGGTGTAAAATTTATATTACTTGATTTAATAGTAAATGCCAGTAATAATTCGATGATAAAAGATATTGAACCTTTTTATTAGCGAATGTAATATTATAATAGTAATTTGACTTATTATAGCATTAATTATCGTTTGCTTTCGTAATTTCCTTTTTTTCTGTCAGAAAAATAATTGCGGGCTACAATAGAGAGAAATTTCAAAGTCCACTCAATGAACGTCGAAATTTGATTAAAAAGGGCATTAATCATTAACTCTGCCGTACATATTTACCTTGAACGGGGCTGGGTCGGTAAGTGTCATTAGTGTTTTGAATCGGTGGTTGCTCGCTTTGTGTTGGCACAAAGTAAACTGGAAACAATCCGGCAAATCCGCTATTGTTTTTGACACCTTCGTTTCTGGTGAATGTGTAGGAATTGTTAACTGGGGTGACAGACAATGAGAAAGGCGGCCAGAGATTGGTATCGTTAATCTGGAATCAAAAGGACGAACCTAATTAGTCAATCAAAAATGAAATTGAATCGACCTGCGACAAAACCGGGCTTTATAGAAAAGAAATAAACGGATATTATTTTTTGTTTTCGATTTCGTAAAAATTTATTTTAATTGTATCCAAAGGGAGTCTACATACTGTTACGTACAAGCATGTATGTGACGAAATCGATATATCGATTACCTACGGCATAAACATCGCAGAAGTTCCAGACTTATTCCGGTGAATTCGATATAAAGTACATTATTTTTTATATAAAATTAAAATATAACTTAATGCTGTTGTATGTAGATAACCCCCTTCATTTGGATCATTATAATAAATCTCCATTTTTTTAGTTTCCCCAAAAATTAGTACATATGTATGTACGTACCTGTGGCATATAATAATTTTCTTCTCTCAGTGTGTCTTGAGGGGTTCGTAAATTATTAAAATTGTTATTATCTCCAGTCCCAGTTTCGCCTTTAGCCGGGTTAAGATTTATTTGATGTTTATGCTTAGTAATTTTATGATGGTCACCCTCCCAAGACCTTGATCCACTTCTCTTTACTCCATGAGGATGGTTGACGCAGTTTGGCTAAAAATGAAGAAAAGCCAATTTACTAACACGTCCAATAAAAGGGTCCTAAAGAAAAACAACTTACATTTCTATCATTCTTCTCAACGGCGTTTGATACCATTTGTGTTTTCTTATTGTTCTTATACAATTTCCCGTCCTTTTCTTTAACAGTTGATCGATATTCTCGGTACCTTTTCCTCATTATCTTTTCCATTTCTTTATTGTGCCTAAAGTTAATATGAGAAACATGCAAATAAAAAATGTACGGACAAATAGTTGAAGTATTATTTATAGTTAGGGATTGAATTACATCAGTATCTATTAATAAGCAATAAACGACAGAAATGTCCAAACTTTACTAAATGTAACAATGGAAATTCATACTTTACGTAAAGATTCTCATTCTCATTCGTTGTGTAATGAAACTGAAAATACTTGGTTTTGTAATCAATTAATTTCTACAGATTATTTTGATATGCTGTATTATATGAGACTGATACACATTTTTGTTACGTAAATATTCCATCTAAATTTGTAATATTAACAGCATATATTTTCTTTCGTGTATGATAAAATAATTCCAATGATAATTAATGTAATTCGGAAGGGATTTTATCCATTTTAGTCACACAAGATAATATTTTTTGATCTAATGAACAAATTTATCAAATGCTTATGTACATTCTTACAGTCCTTTAAATACAATTATTCTATGTTCTGCCAACTCTTGGAAACTAAAAGAAATAACAAAAATTTGAAATTATTTTTTTTTTTTTTGATGAAACAATTACTTGCTAAAGTAGTAAGCAATAGCTTCTCGCTGCAATTTTTGTAGTGAATAATTATCGTTTCGTAGCTTATATTTTACATTCTTGAGAAAAAAAAGAAAAACATGACCGTGGCAAGAGTCACTCACTTCGTTTGTGTTGCCTTTTCCTATTGCAACCTTACAATCCTAGCCTAATCAAACATTAGCCGAAGAATGGTTTTATTTTTAAATTTACGTTAGGCACAGTTTAACGTCAAGGTGCGAAACAAGAATAAAATTGGTCAAAAAGGGTACGCAATATTTAATTGAGTTGCGAAATTAAAAAGCTTAATTACAAATGGGCAAAGGGTTGATTATTAGACACTGTATAGTTTAGTCTGTTTCAGCTCTGTGAGCAGTTTATTCATTGTACCTATGTAGTGTACCATTTATTTAATTAGATTTCACTCACTTTGATAGAAGTGCTTCGGTAAGATGCGGTGAATTGTAAGAATCATTCGATCCATTACCACTAGTACCGACAGTTTCCATATTAACGTTGCTAGCTGAACTTAAATTTCCACTTCCACTTCTGCTTTCTCTGTTCTGAATTGGACTGTAACTCTTTCCAATACTACCCCTATGAAAAATACGAACAAAAGTTCGAAAAATGTGTGACGGGATCGTGATAAGTAACGATAAAATTGATTATATTAGTTAATTTTATCCATTATTTTCGTAAAAATATCTGTTTAGTTAATTCTTCAGCATTTCGATCAAACTTCCACCGAATTCAAAATTTTTGTCAGAAATATTTATCCATCCAACTCAACACGTTTAATGTTACTTTATAAACAACATAATTACTTAGTTGACAATTAAAATACCAGAACCAAACATCCACGAATAGTAACATACTTGACTAAATTGACATTTTATCTTATTAAGTACTATAATAATTATTTAGATAATAATTATTTTATTAC